GCTTTCATGTTATTAGTATACTTTTCCCTCCTTTTTATTGATATAATATCTGATATTATCTGATAATATTATTTTGCATTTTAGTGATTTGGATCCTATTCAAGCTCCTCATTGGTCTGTTAGAGTTAGAAAAGCCGATAATCCTCAGTGTTTGCTAGGTAAGATATTATGTTTTGTTTCTAAAATATCATCAATCCAGCTATCTTCCAAATTAGGAACCCTGATTACATTCTTTATACTGTACTTTTAAAAATTTTATTCATGTGCTTTTGATACACGTATGAACACATTCATCATAGGAAATTTGTACCTGTACACGATGTATCTTGATATCTTTTCCCTTCCTTCCCTTTCCTCTCTTCCCTCCCTTGTTCCCCCTCCCATATGAACATAATTCTTCCTACTTCCCAATCTATCATCCATTTTGATCCTTATTTATACCCTTTGGGTTTCTCAACAAGAGAAACAATGTGATATTTAAACATGTGTCTGATTTATTTCACTTAAAAGTATGGTCTTAAGGTGCATCCATTTACCTAAAAAATGTCTCGTTATCCTTCTTTATGCCAGAGTAGTATTCCATTGTATATAAAAATCACCTTTTCTTTATCCATCCATCGATGGGCATCTGAGCTGTTTCTAGATTTAGCTATTACAAATTGTGCTGCTATAAATGGTGTGGATATATATACTGCACTTGTTTTCACCTTACCTAGAAAAATTTTTTTTTAACATTTATGATCTCCTGAGTAAACATAATGTAGAAGAAATCTTTGCCAACAGCAGTGAATCCTTTTGAATGGCACTAGCAGGGTTTTTTCTTGTCTTTTAGTTTTAATGAGTCTACACCTCAGAATTCTCTGTTTTCTTATCTCAGTTTTATTTTTCTTACACTTTTATGTTACTCCCTTTCCTTCCTCCTGTAGCATTGCCTGTATTTTCTATTTAGTATATTCTTCTTTGCCTTTGTAGTTCCTCTGGACCTGTGGCATATGGGAAAGCACTGATTTTGACAGTCTTCATTATACTTCTTCTGTAGACTTGTATAGCACCTACAAATCTATTTTCTTTTATGGTAAAAGAGGAGTAAATACTTCTAACATATTTCATAGGATTATTTGAAGGATTGTTACCAGGTTTTGGGGTGCTAGAGTCTCCTTCTGGAGGTGATTTCTAGGTTCTTTGTCTTAAAGAATTAGTCAAGACAAGTACTGACAGTAGCAAAGTTTTACATTTATTAAAGATAGGTAAAGAAGCAGGCTCTGCAGAGTGAATTTTGGCCAAGTAAAAGTAGGAAAGTTAAGTGTTGTATGCTCTACAGGACAAGAGCAGGCTACCATAAAAGAACACAGTAGGAAAAAACTCAGTGTGGGCTGTCCTTTTGTATTTCTCCCTTCATCAGGTTTTAGCCAATTTATGGAAAAGCTGCTTGAGTTCTCTCTAGAAGTACAAGTACAGGGATTTGGGAACTGTTCCAGAATTTTATAATTAGCAGGCTATGCCTACTTTTCTGCCCAGTTTTGCCACGCCCTAGTCTCCTGCCTTAGGATTAAGTGACATACATTTTTTAAGATACTTTTTTTTTTTTGGTACCGGGGATCGAACTTGGGTCATTGCGCTTGCGCAGCAAGTGGCAAAACCACTGAGCTAAATCCCCGGCCCTAAGATACATTTTTTTAAGATACATTTAAAAAATAATGCAGTAATTGCTCTTCAGGTTCCATGTCTGGAATTGTGTCTCCCTTCCCTTTTTCATAGGTGTATCTCTATTTTGAGGTCTTCTCAAGCATTCCCCTCTGTACCTTCCCATATTTCCTGCTTCTATTTAGTACACATGAAAATATTTTCTCTATTTCTTCTCATGTTCATCATGCCACTTTCACTCATAATTGCCTGATATATTCCAACCATTCAATTGATGGTGACTATATACTTATTAATGACAGTGATCTTACATTTTCCTAACGCATTCTTTTTTTTTAAAGCTTTTTATCATTCACTTTTTTGGCGCATTGTTTGTTTTTTGAGACAAGGTTTTGCCGTGTAGTTCAGGCTGACTTTGAACTCACTATGTAGCCCAGGCTGGCCTGAAACTCATGGCAGTCCTCCTGCCTCTTGAGTGCTGGGATTATAGGTGTGTGCCACCACACCTGGCTATCATTGACCATATGCTATTAATCCATTGCCAATTAGCAGTTGCCATTTATGCTAACTGTGAAGAACATAGGTGTTTGGGTGAATGTGGGGCCTTGGGAAGTTACTGAGTTAACATGAAGGGTTTCAGAGTTGGAGAGACCATGGTTCATAGCCTAAAACTGCTAGTTTGGGCAAGTTTTTAATCTTGTCAAGCCTTGGCATTCTCATCAGGAAAATAGGTAACAATAGTACATATTTCATAGGATTGGGGGAATCAAATGAAATTGTGTGCCTGTGTGTCTATGTGTATCACATTTAACAGAATGCCTATCATATAGTAAATGCAGAATAAATTGTTTCTGCTGTGTAATCATTGAATTATTACATTATGAAGTTATTTACTAAATTGTTTCCCAGTACCCTGTTATTTCTCATCTACTGACTTGTGTGGTAAATTCCAGACTACTTTACAGTTGAAAATATTCTCATTTTAAGTTACTGTTCCATAACCTTACCTCTTTGACTAATTTTTGTGAATAGATTATCTACCTCTTTGACTAGATTTGAATAGATTTTTGTGAAAAAAATCCAGAAAATATTTTAGATTTGTATAGAACTAGTTTGTAAATTCTAAAACTTAGATGTACTCCTTGCATTGTATTTTAGTGCTGGAGGGTCTGGTTAAGCTTTAATTTCTTGGTGCTAACATACCTTGTCACAGCTCTTTAGAAAAAACCCATTTCCCCTTTCTTATAGTAAAGATATAAAGCACATCAGTATGCAACAGAAGCAGAAATACCTTCAGCTTATGTTATTTATCTGAATCCTTTAGAAACATATCTTTAGAGTTTTTCAGTTTTTTTTGTTTTGTTTTGTTTTTTGGTACCAGGGATCAAACTCGGAACCTTGTGCTTGTGAGACAGGCGACGGAACCACTGAGCTAAATCCCCGACCCCTCAGTTTGTTTTTTTAATAGATTCAGAGTAGTAAGGTAACAAGGAAAGATGTCTACTTTATACATACTTACATAATTTAATACTTACACAATTTTTAATATATATTTATCTCATTTGAATGTATTAAAAATGCTTTCATGTTATTAGTATACTTTTCCCTCCTTTCATTCCAGAGTAATTCTAGATAAAACTTTTTTTGTTTTGGTACCGGGGATCGAGCTTGGGACCTTGCGCTTGCGAGGCAGGTAGCAGAACCACTGAGCTAAATCCCTGGCCTGATAAAACTCTTTTAATATCCCAGGACATGGAGAAACAGGAAGGTAGAACAGGCTACTTTTGACTATAAGTTATTTTTGGTTTTTTTGGTTTTTTTGGTACCGGGGATTGAAGTTGGGTCTTTGCTCTTGCACAGCAGGCGGCGAAACCACTCAGCTAAATCCCCGGCCCAATAGGCTATTTTTGAAATAGGATTAATTTTTGTTTTCTTCAGAGGAAAACCTGAATATTTTTTTCTGCTGTGTCTTAGTTAATTGCTTGTATGAAAAGACATGTACTTTTATTTATAAGACTGATTTCTTTCAGTTAAGTGTTAAAAATGAGTAAAATTGTTTTTTCTATGTAGGTGATTTTGTCACTGAATTTTTTAAAATTTGCCGTCGAAAGGAGTCAACTGATGAAATTCTTGGACGATCCACCTTTGAGGAAGAAGGAAGAGGTGACCTGTTTTTCTTTTTAACATTACTTTCAGGTGTCTCAACCTTTTTCTTTGGCACATTTTCCAGCAACTTTTCATCTATTTTTCTCATTTTGAATAAGTTGGAGAAGCAAGTTTTGATGTACTAGACAGATGCCATTTCTCTCTAGGCTATTCCCAGAGCTAAAGACATTTAATGCATATAATAAGTTCTTTCTACCAAAAAAAAATGAGATATTTTGAAAAGCAGGGTTTGAGAGGCTGATTTTTTTTAAGTCCGCTGTGGAGAAATAATTTGCCACCTTTGTCATTCATTTTTGTGTCTGAAACTGGATATGTAGATTAAAATTTTACAATTCTGAGACCTTGTGACATTAGTAGAAAAAATAGCTAAACTACACTGTCATCAATTTACTCCACACTTTAATCTGCTAAAGTTGGTGATATAATCTGTATTCATTTCTACTCTTTTTATAGAAATGGCTGATATAACTCACGCTTTGTCAAAGTTGACAGAGCCAACACCAGTTCCAATTCATAAATTATCAGTTTCAAATATGGTACACACTGCAAAGAAGAAAATACGAAAACACAGAGGTGCAGAAGAGTCACCCCTGAATAATGATGTCCTCAATACTATTCTCTTGGTAACTAAATGCCTTATTTTTGTATGACTATATGCATAAGCATTTATTCTTTCTATACGTAGGCACCAGATTGGGAATATAAAATTAGTAAAACAAATCCACTTTCCCAAAATTCTTTCAAGTTAATGGGAAAAGAAAGTAATAGGTACAACCTTATGTTGCATGTGAGAAGTCTGGCAAAAGGCAGTGAGAACATAGTAGAAGGTACATATGTCTCTGTCTGGGTAATAGGGGTCATAGACTGTTTCATAAAGAGGCCTACTTGAGCTGAGTATAGAGTAAAGGTTTTTGAAGTAGAGGAATAGCAGAGGACCGAGAGAGCATATTGAACAGTTGGTGTTTTATAGGATGCTTCACTGGAAATGATGAGGGATGAGGTTGGAGAGGTAGCAGGTAATCTGCTGTGCTAAAGCACTGCACTTTAACTTGCAGTTTAATATCATTTTAAGCAGAAAATCAACATGATCAGAATTGTATTTTTGAATTTTATTTGCCAACAATGTAGAGAAGTCTATGATGACTAGATGGGGATAAAGAAGAGGGCCAGGATGGCTACTCGTTATAGTGTCATTGGAATGGGCCCAGCCTGGGAGCCACATGGACCAGGGGTTAATTCTGACTTACTGGATGACTTTGAATAAGTCACTTCACAAGACTAACAAAACCTCGTGAGGTTGTTGTGAAAATTAAAGGCCCCTCTGTGGTACTGCCTAGCATTTAATAGGTCTTTGATAAATGATAGTTTATCATTATAGTTATAATTATATTTTTGGCAATTTGTACATTAAGACAGTCTTGGGAAAAACCTTCAAGAGTAATGTAATAAAGAGAGTATTGGACTGGGAACCTAATGTTTAATCTTGGTGTGTATCTTGCTGTTTAAACAAGATTTCAGCCAAATTTTCAGCGTGAACATTATAAAATGTGCACAGTGATATTTAACTCACATCATTGTATGAAAATAGGTTAATTTTGGTAAATGTGCCTAGTATTGACATCTGGCTTCTAGTAAGTTACTCTAATTTTTTTAAGTATTGAATATTTTGAAAGTTAATTTTAAAAAGTCTCGTGAACATGTTCCATAATTTATTCCAAAGTATACATGATAAGAGGAATTAGTGGTCAGCAGTACCAAACAGTTTGGAGGAAAACTGATAAAAGGATTGAAAATAAATTTCTGTAGAGAAGGCTCCTTCAGAATGTATCCTTGGAGCTTATTCAAATTACAAAGTTCATTTGTCATATACATTGAGTTTTTAACCACTTCTCCCTACACAAACACAACAGCAGAAACTACATAGAAAAGATACATTGGTCATCACAGGTTTACACTGTTTCTCATTTTCTGTGTATCTTCCATAAAGTTATGGGTCTTTACTATCACAATTTTAGTATTGTATATATGATGAGTATCCAATCTTTTGGCTTGCCTGGGCTAGATTGAGTGGGGAGGAATTATCTTGGGCTGCATTTAAAATATGTAATATTATTAAGTAAGTGACAAAACTTGATTTTTTAAATATTCTAACTTACTAAATTTTTTACAAAAATAACAAGCCTAAGTTTAGTAATTAAATAAAACTTACATGTCTGCTTAACAACAATAAATGTTTGTCTTCACAGGTATACACATGTAGGTGGGTTGAAATCCTATTATTAGTAAATGCTGCATTTTACTTGCTAAGTTGCAGAAGTGCATGTAACTTCTGATGTAAGTGGATTTCAATTTGATTGTGATAGGTACAGGAGGTGGCATTAGCACTACATTTTGTCCTCCCCTACACAGTGTTCTGTTGTCACCTGCACAGTTGGAGCACCATACAATTGAGTCATGAAAAATATCAAACACAAAAAATCACATAATAGTGGTAGATAAAAGTTTATGGTCTTGTGGACCTGCATTATTATCTGCCCAGGGCTGCATGCAGCCCATAGGCCACAGGTTGGACATGCCTGACACATATGAAAACTTATCGATGATATAACTACAGAGTCTCATGACTACTGTATATAGGTCTTTTAAAATTCTCTTTTATAGTTTTGTCTCATAGTATTATTGCTTCTTTAAAAAATGTAGTAACTTTTTGGGCCAAGGATTTTTCTCCGTGGTTTCGCCACCTGCCTCACAAGCACAAGGTCCTGAGTTTGATCTCCGGTACAAAAAAAATTGTAATAACTTTGGATTAGTATGAAATCAGTGAAGAGATTTTTTTCACTATTTAGTTCACAATTAGATGGTTGTTTTATGAAAAATTTTTTATTTCTTAAATTGGCTAGTTACATAAGTCTTGTGTTTTTTGAAGAAAAACATAAAATTCCAGAGAATGTAGAACCAGTTGGCCAGTACAATAAGAACATTGTTTTAATGGTAAATTCATTGAAAATTTAGTGTCTGTATGAGTTATAAAACAAAGCAGGAAATGTTGTCTAACATGTGAATATTCTTTTTTCCCTGTAAAGTGTTTTTTAAAATTAATTTTATTAGTACATTTAAGGTATACAATATAATGACATTCATCATTGGAAATTTTCACCTTTACAGAATACATCTTGGTTCTTATTTTTTCCCCATTACTGTCTCCCTGTAAAGTTTTTATTCCCAGATGCTGCTTCTGAGAAACCATTAGAAGGAACTACTTCAGCAGACAATAGTAATCTTCCATCAGACAGTGAAGATTATGTAAGTTGGAGTTTAATATTAAAATATTTTAAATGCATTGAATTTCTAGGGGTTTCTATATTTCTAGTCTGGTAGTCTTTTTATTTTAAAAATCAGCTCTGAAAAATTGAATGAATATCATGGCCTCCACTCAAATAATGACTTGCAAAACACTAGCATAATTTGAATAGCCAAAACTGTGATAAAATAACAAAATTTACTGTCCATAGATGTAGGATTTTCCTCATTTTAGAATTTTTGCAAAATCATTAAATTGTTTTGGAACATTTTTTGTATACAATATTTCAAAACCAGGCATGAGTGGAAACTTTTTTTTTCTTTGCTTGAACCCAGGGCCTCACACATGCTAGGCAAGCGTTTTACCACTGATCTGTATCCCCAGTCCTGGAAAAATCTTTAATGAAGCAAAATGTGTAAAATAAAATTTTCACATTCTTCTTATCTTTGAGAAATGAGAGCACTTAAATGACAGTTTTAAAGATATATCAAACTATTTACAGTAGTTATTGTTGGAAAGGAGATTTCCTATCGTGAGGGAGGAAAGCAGAGCCTTTTATTTTAACAAATGTGTACTCATTTTATAATTAAAAGATTCTTTTAACAGCACATGAAATTTGAAATACATGTTTAAAGTTCCACAGGAGAAAATGAAAGCTATAACTTCAGCCTCATTTAAACTAGTTTTACTTTGTTTAATCTTAACTAGAAATCTTGAAAACAGATCTGTCTAACAAGAATGTAGAGAGTAATATAATTAGATACAGTATTGGATAAAAGCTAGTTTTCTTAAGATAGGTTAATTTAGTATTAAAATCTCTCTTCTACAATTTTTGATTATGTATGTAAATGTTAACAAGTTTTGCTGTGTTTCTGTATTGTTAATAGAATCTCTACAATCAGTTCAAATCTGCACCATCTGACAGTTTAACATACAAATTAGCTTTGTGTCTTTGTATGATCAATTTCTACCATGGAGGACTAAAAGGAGTGGCACATCTCTGGCAGGAATTTGTTCTTGAAATGCGCTTCAGATGGGAAAACAACTTTCTCATTCCAGGGTAATAAATTTTCCACTGTTGAGAATAGGATCTTTTGTTTGTCAGCAAACACTTGGACCAGTTTTCTTATTTAAGGAAATCTGCCCTAGAAAAGTGGAAAGAAACATGGATGTGAGATATTCACCTCAGAAAATTTATTATAATAATAATTTTTTAAAAAGCAGAACAGCCTAAAAATGTCAACATAAAAGAACAGATAAATTAATTATTCTCTATTTCTGTATTGACATTTCACATGAATAGAAGATTTTAGTTAGCATGTGTGTCAGTATTGCATAAGTTAGTGACCATCCATGCTAAGCGAGGAGGATAATAGGATGAGTAATATAAAATGCAGTTGTTCCAGAAATACTTACTGTTACGTCATTTGCCAATCTCTGATTAGATAGGTTCTCTCTTATTTCTAACTGATACAGAAGCAGAAGCATATTAAATATAAATGAGAACTTCTGGCTGACTGCCAGGAACCTAGTGGTTTAGAACTAGAGCCACTCAAGGGTCCCAGTGGCAAAAGAGAGGTGAAAATCTTGGTTTTCATAGTGAGACTCCAGCATAATAATTGAGAATTGAATATGTAGATTAACGTACTTTGTGTGGTATGAAACAATATTGTGATTTCTTCCTAGGGCTGATTTAGAGACTTTTTCTCATTATAAGTTTTTCATTATCCAGAAAGCTGTTACCAGCTTGCTATTATGTTTGAAGTATCTCTTATATTTGCTACTGGTGATTTGTGGGCTTGGTAGGCTAAAATAAGTTTGATCTTTTAATCATCATATGTGTTTCCCTTCTAGAACTTGGTTTCCTTATCTATAGAAATCTAGTTTTATTTCTTATTAATACAGCTAAAAATTGTGATATAAAAAAGCAAGCCATTTTTCTAACGCTAAGCTTTCTTTTCTCATTGATAGATTAGCCAGTGGAGCCCCAGATTTAAGATGTTGTTTACTGCATCAGAAGCTGCAGGTAAAGGTTTTCTAATAGCAGTGTATAAATGTGGTATTGATGCAATCAGAGCTTATTCTAATACTAAATATAAAATGGGTTATAGGCTACTCTCATCATGCTTCTATGGGTTGCTTATAGTCACTGTGATCACAGCAGGGGTCTGAAAAGAAGTAGAGAATGAAAAAATATTCAAGCAGTGGATAGATTTTTTCATTTTCCTGTAACTAATTAAACTATGATGCTATTTTTGTTTTCTTAAGATGTTAAATTGTTGTATTGAAAGAAAGAAGGCACGTGATGAGGGGAAAAAGATAAGTACTTCAGACACTATAACTAGTACACGTCCAGGGGATGCTGGAAAAATTGGAGACCAGCTGGGGCCAGACCATCTCAAAGATGCAGAGAAGGGAGAGTTGGGAAAATCTTGGGATTCATGGAGTGATAGTGAAGAAGAATTTTTTGAATGCCTAAGTGATACAGAAGAACTTAAGGGAAATGGACAGGAAAGTAGCAAGAAAGGAGGACCTAAAGACATGGCAAATTTAAAACCAGAAGGACGTCTCTATCAGCATGGGAAACTTACACTGCTACATAATGGAGAACCTCTCTACATTCCAGTAACCCAGGTAGGAAGCACTGGTTCTTTCAATTTCTTTTTGTTATTGTCTAACACATTCACTGCGGGACTGTGATTCATATGTCTTACTGCCAGGTGGCTTAAACCACCAGCAGAACACACATGACTGTCCCGTCAGGAAGCTTTTTATAAAAGATCCATTTGTACCCACTGTGGTTTAAACTGGCAGGAACGTGTTACTAAAACTTCATCCTAGTAAGAGATCATTTCTTATGGGTAGAGTAAATTCTTTAAAGAATCTTTGTTTAATCCAGATATGGTGGCACATGTCTGTAATCCCAGCCTCTGGGAGGCTGAGGTAGGAGGTTCACAAATTTAGTCATCCAGGACAACTTAGTAACTTAGTGTGGGCCAGGGATTTAGCTCAGTGGTTCCACCGCCTGCCTCACAAGTCCCAAGTTGAATTCTCAGTAACAAAAAAAACCCAAAATACAAAACAGTGAGACTGTCTCAAGATTTTAAAAAGTTAAAATATTGGGAATGTACAGTAGTGAGAAAACCTTGGGATCAATCTGCAATACCTCCAAAAAAAAGCAAAATATTTTGGTTTAGACATATACGGTTTGAAACCTAAATAAACTTCTTGGGCCTTTAGGTCTACCATTTCTGAAATTAAGGAATGTTTTGAAGTTTAAGTAGATAGTAGCTTGTCATGTATAAGGTTGTCTGTTATTTCTTAAGTTGAGTAGTTAATACTCAGGTGTTTAAAGAACACCTTGAGACCGTAATGTTAAGTGAAATAAGTCACCCACGCAACCTTAAATATTGCATGGTTTCTCTTATATGAGAAACCCAAATTACAAAAAAAAAAAAAAAAAATAGAGTAAAAGATAGGAAAAAAGATAAGTAGGGAAATAGATCATTTTCAAATGAGAAGGGGATCAAGAGAGGGAGGAAATAGGGGAGGGAAAGAGGATTAAAAACGGAGTTAAGATGTGTTTACTGCACATGAGGAGTGTAAACAGAATGTACTGCAAACATGTACTAATAAAAAAAAAGAACAGGGCCGGGGATTTAGCCCAGCGGTTCCGTCGCCTGCCTCACAAGTGCAAGGACCGGAGTTCGATCCCCCGGTACCAAAAAAAAACCAATATCCAAAAATACAGAAGAGAAAAATTAGAAGTAGCATTCCTTCAGTTACATGAGTAGTTTATTTGCGCAAATGTACAGTTTGAAGCTATTTTGCATAGTACACAGAATAACAGCAACTCAATATCTAAGGAACAATATGTTTTGTTCATTTGTTTTTGCATGAGTAATACATGAATACATTTTGTTGTGAAAAATTCAGTCCTGAAAAAGTGAAAGGCACTACCAATTCAACTTTCATCCTATAAAATAACCACTATTACTGGTTTGGGTTATATTTATTGTACTCGTTTCTGTGCCTTGATATACATACACAGAGTCTGCCAAAAAATGTATACTAACTTCAGGAAAAGAAAAACATATAAAATTTTAATTCTTTCCTGTGACTTGCCTACATAAGATTTATATGTTTTGAAATACAAGGGCTGATCAAAAATGTGATATGTGTTTAAATGAAAAGATTTATTACAGTAAAAGTTCCATTGCTTCCTCTCACAATACTCCCCCTTGTCTCAAACACACCCATTATTCTGGCTACTTTCTAAAGCAATTTTGGAAGTCCTCTTTTGTGTCTTTATAAGGTATGATCAAAAATAAAGTGACTGTTGCTGCATGCCATCCAATGGAAAGGCAGGTTTGTAAAACATCATGGTGTCTACTCCTCCACGTTATTCTCCAGATCTGGCACTGTGCAACTTTTGGCTTTTCACCAAATTCAAAATGACTCTGAAAGGTAAATCATCTTGAAATGGTTCAAGACATCAATACTCCTATGCCAACACAACTAAAGACAAAAAGAGAAGACTTGCAGAACTGCTTCAGAAAGTGCCAAGAATAATGGGATACAAAGCAAGGAGTGGGGCAGATTTTGAGGGAGATTGATAGGAATGTCTTGTACTGTAACAAATCTTTGAAAAAATTTAAACATTCACGATATTTTCTGATCGTACTCTATGTTTTTTTCTCATCAGTATTTATTATTCATGTGAACAGCTTTACAAAAATGATATCACTCAATTTGATTACTCATTTACAGCTAATTTTGAATAGCATACTGTTACATATTTTTAGTGACTCATGTTCCGTGGAGAATGATCTCCTTTAAAAACATGGGTTATCTGGAAAATTAGTGAACAGGAAGAACTTTTTACATATTGGAATTCTAGGAACCTTTGCTTATTAAAACTCTGCTGATTTTGTTTTATATCTGGTCATTTTTTGTTATGTAATCATTACTGTTGCTATCAGAAAATTCCCTAAGATGATCACAAGTAATCAGCTGACAGGAAGTATTGCTATTCCCTGGTTTCTCACTAGCCTACCTGCCATAGAGGCCCAGAATTCATCAGCCTGGCAGGTTTTTCATAGCTTTTTTATACTTTCATACTGTATATATTCTAACTTTTCTAAATAGTATCTCAAAGGTTGAGATAATTCATCTTGCCACTAACAGTGTATAGTAGTGTGGTTATTATATACTACTTGTTTACATAGTCTCTGCTACTTGACATGTCAGGGGTTCCCAAGACAACTGTCAATCAAGTTCATTGATATGGTAGGAGGACTCATAGAACTAAGTATGTAGACATGTTCATTGATATCATTTACTATGGCAAAAGGATACACAGGGAAAAGGTGCACAGGATGAAGTTTGGAGGAAATAACTGTAGTCACACAGGATGTGCTTAATTCCTCTAGCAATGGATTGTGACCATACATGCGAAATGTTACCCACCCTGTAGCTTCTTAAAGGTACAGTGGCCAAGGTTTTCTCTTTTCTTTTTTTCCCCCCCTTTCTGGTACCAGGGATCGAACTCAGGACCTTGCACTTACAAGGCAGGCATGGTGCCACTGAGCTAAATTCCCAGCAAGGGTTTTTGGTTTTTTTTCCCATTAAGTTTATTGGTACATTTTAGGTTTAAAATATAGTTACATTCATCATTGGCATCTTGTACCATTACATGAATATCTTGGTTCTTATTTTTTTCACCTTCCCCTGCCCTTCCTTCACCCGCTCCACCCTTCCCTATTTGCAAAGGCTTTGTTTCCATTTTTTCCTTTTCTCATATTTATTCTTTCCCTTCTTTCTTTTCCCCTACCCCTCCCACTTCCTCTGCTCCTTTAGACCTTTACTTCCTATTATTCAATATCACTTATACATTTTTAAAATTACAATATCAAGATCTAGGGCTGGGGATTTAGCTCAGTGGTTTCGCTGCCTGCTGCGAAAGCGCAAGGACCCAAGTTCGATCTCCGGTACCAAAAAAAAAAGACCTAGGAGACATTACCACAGATTTTACAGAATTTAAAAGGATATAGAAAGCATATTACAAAAATCTGTTTTGAAATAAATTTGACAACTTCTAAGTACCTTGGAAGACAAATTAATAAAATTAACTCTGGAGGAAATATAAAATTTGAATAGCACCT